AGAGGTCTGCGACGACTTAAACGAGGGTACGTAGTTCCGCCTTTTTGCCATCGACACACGACGCATCAGGGCAATGTACTCCAAGATGAAAACTTCATTTGTCATCGGTCTGATTACTGAAATGGTAGACGAAGCTATAAGCAAAGAGGACATAGGAAACATGAAGCAATCCTATTATCCTATTATTGGATGAGTGGTTTTTATGGGCTGAGGGGAAAATGATGGACTAATTACAATATCTCTCGTAGGTTTCCGTTATTTAGTATATTACTTACCTCCTTCGTCCATTTGCAACCACCCACTTCCACCAATGGGATCGCTTCATTTCCCCTTTGTCTTCTGTCTTCATCGCTTTCGCCGATTGCCACTTTTTTAATCCTCGAACAAGGCTAATTTTTTTTAATTTTCTAGTGTTTATTGCGATATATGATACTTAATTAACACTTTTCAACTGTGGTTTGTTTAGGTCACCCCCCCTCCCCATTTTCAGATATGGTACATCTTGCTCTGCGCGTCGCATATACAGAGTAATCCAAAAGACTGGACCCCTTCCTCCCGGGTAAGTTTCGGAGGGTTACGCTTAGAGGTATATATAATTTTGAGTGTCTTCTTCGATCAAAAGGAGCTCCTTCCAACCACACTTTACTATTTTCCTGATCGGAGATACGCAAAAATGCAAAATATCTAATTGCAAATGTTCAAAAGTTAACATGGGGGATAGGAGTCCTAAACTCATGGATTACCCTGTGTTTTCAGTTGTTCACGCTCGATTAATTTTCCCCCCCTTTTTTTCCGCTGTTGATTTAACGGATCTTCTCTTAATGAGGCCCACATCCAAAATTTACTGTTTCGTTACAACATTAGAAATTTTGGAGTGTAATTCTGTGCCGGAGTCTATACTGCCATCCACAGCAAAAACGCAGTAACTCCACTCAAAATGTTTTCCTTTTTTTCCAGCATGTGCTGCTCCTCTACAAGAAAATTCAATTGCCACAAAGCCTCAGTTCTTCATTTTTAGTTCCTAACGGTGTGGCGGAGTTGTATTGAAAAAATAAAGGATGAATATTCGTTGGGTTTTTTGTAAAACAGAATTTTGTCCCAAAAAAATTGAAAAAGTGTTCAATGGAAATACGGCGTTTTTACTTTGTAAGGAAGAATATAGCACCCTGAAACTCGCGTGATATGAATGCAGAGCGGAATCTATTTTTCTTACGGAGCGATTTTCACCATTACTGAATCTACTCTTTTTGCGGAATGTCTATGCTTTTATAATGCTAATTTCACTTCGCATTCAAATCGCTTGGGTTTTTGAGCGCTATACAGACTCCGGCACCAAATCTACCTCCTTTTTAAGAGTGTATAGCAAGCGTTGCTGGATGAGCGTGTGCTTGGATGGCTTCCGGGACTTTATGTCCACCTATCTTTCGTCCATTAAATAAATGTCCACCGCTATTTATTTCCACTAAACGTTAAGTCCACTCTTTATTAAGTCCACATGATTTAATGTCCAACCATGAATATGTCCAAAATTGTCCAAATTTTGGACATGTTATGTCCACATTTTTTTCTTCTCATTTAAATGACAGGAACAACCTCAAAAATAAATGCATACTACTACTACCTTCATTCTAATAACATTTCAATCACGAATCAAGTCATGAAAGAGAACAGACTCTAAGAGCAGATAAAAACATAAGTTCATGTGTACACTGTACGGATATGATAAGATGAAAACCACAGCGGGAGACTGGGAAACGCTCCAATGCCAAATTAGACATTTTTCAGTAATAGATGCAGTCAAAATTGAAAGTTCTCTTTAACTAGTTATTTCGTGAGCCTTCAATCTTGTAGGATACTGTGCAACGCCTCTGACGCGAAATAGTTGCTTAAAGCGTTGTGGCGCGGCAGGAAACCAGCGTGACACGCGCATAGGCGCCTACAAACCTAACGGGATACTTCACGCGTTGCGCAATGCGTGAAGTATCCCGTTAGGTTTGTAGGCGCCAGTGCGCGTTCTGCGCTGCTAACACGCCGCTCCGATCTGTGTTGGGCTCTAACATTTAAACTCGCGGAGTCAGCGTTTTTCAACTCATGATTTTGAAATGTTTGCACTCTCTGCATTGATTATTCCCTTTTAAACTGATGAAAAAGAAATATGTACTACTGGAAAATATAATATGTTTTTTGTAAATATAATAGTGGTTCCGTGTCAAATTTAATGATTTCCAAAGCATTCAAATTTATTCTTTTATGTTTTTTTGGGCTTTTACTGTGCTGCAGCGTGGTGTAAGCGCAACCAAACGCCCAAAATTGGACGTATTTGACTCAAGGAGATCGATGTACAAATAAGTTAAACACAAAAAATTTCGTGCTTCTTAGTTTTGTTCCTCTTTTATTAATTTGTGTATAGTTTCTTTCATTACAACTACGGCTCATTGAGATTCATATCGATGCCATTGCTTTGGAAAGGTTTTACAAATATTTACCACGTTTTAAAAATGTAAATATTTTTAAAATGAAGTAATCAATTTCATTAAAAAAAAATAATGTACATTTAAGGCATATTTTATATCGGAAATTTCAAGAATAGAAATGAAACCAAGTATTTACCAAAGACAATTTGAAAAGATGAATCAAAAGAAGAAATTGACATTTCATTTAAAATATGAGTTACGGTAACAACACCTCATTCTCTCTTAATTTTCTCATTTCGATATTGACAATATAATTTTACACACGGACTAAAATATGACGCTTGAATTTGATTTTAGTGGACTTTACATTTGTGGACTTAACTTAGTGGACGTTTAAGTAATGGACTTAACAATAAGGTGGGCTTTAGAACTGTGGACGTAAAAATTGTGGACGAAAAGTCTGTGGACGTAAAAAAAAGTGGACATAAAGTCCGTGTACCCTTGGATGTTTTCGGCATGAACTTGCGGTAGACCAGTTGAAGTTTTCCGGATGATTGTGAGCTCACGATGGTGAGTACGTTGATTTCTTAGCGGGTGCGTCTCACTTGTGCTTCCGGCTCGAGGCCGACGGGGTGGGTGGATGTCTCTTGCTGCGGTTCTTCAAATCCTGCTCCGTGATGTACATTTGCCGCATCTCATCCAGTCGATAGAATTCCTGCCGATCAGACGCAAGCTTATGAGACGAGGATTTACTATTTCCACTACATTTCCAACAAATTTGGAACTAAAATTTCTGGCTCATTGATAAACACACTTACGTGCATTGGGAAACTTATGGTGCATACGTTGTTTTAAAACCGGGACAGTAATTGGACGTACACTGAGAAAAAACTATGGTTTATAAACCTATTAGAGGTAAATATGGAACACCTATAATAGTCGTAAATAAACTAATGATTCTCGGTCTGTGAACCATACTAAGGTCTCTGTACCTAATTAAGGTACCCCGTACCATAACTAAGGTATATGTGCTATTATTATATGTAGAGGTACTACTATTAGTGGTGTTCCATATTTACCTCTAATAGGTTTATAAGCCATAGTTTTTTCTCAGTGTATTTCTATCAAACGGAACTAATCGCCATCGGGGGAGGAAGGGGGAGGGGTGTTTGGATTGGCGGGTGATGCGGAAGTTCCGTTTGACAGAACGGGCCACACTGGAAAAAAAACACATTGGATCTAAAGTCCAGACTCTTAAAAATTTCGTCAAGAAAAAATACTCTTGATTCAATCAGATTTAAGCTTAAATCAAGAACCAAGCCTCTTAATTTGAGCGGATTTCCCTTTGATTTAAGCTTAAAATCTGATTGAATCAAGGGTCCTTTTTCTTGTCAATTTTGACTCTAGATCCAATGTGTTTTTTTTTTCCAGTGTATCCGGGATTCTAAAACCCTCAAAAGGAGCTCACTTTGGCGCTTAGTTCCGTTTGACAGAAATACGTCAAATACGTCAAATACGTCAATACGTAGTTCCTGATTCCACAATGGAGTCCATTTCGTCGGTCCTCGGACGTGAGGGCGTATCCCAATTAAATTGAGATACGCCCAGCGAGAGTCAAAAAAACGCAGAAATTGAGTCAACCTCCGCATGCGCTACGAAAAGCATGGATTTATACGAAAGACGCATGGCTCACGCGGAGATTAAGATACGTCATTACGTCTCACACGGTGAGAAAAAGTAACCAACATTTTGTGTTAATGTGGGAAGTGAAACACTAAATAACCCAAGCCTTCGGTTGAATCTAGAGTTTTCCAGTCTCTCCATTGTTTTCGGCGCTGAATTCACCGCAAATTGTACCATTATCAACGCAAAATTTGGGTTGGTTTGTGTTTCAAATGTATATTAACCAAAAATAACATAAGAACGCAAATATTTTTCTCAGTGCTGGTCAGGAACCACGATTTTATGTATGGCACCTAAGAGGCGCATGGGCGACCGAAGCAGGGTGGCATACAACTTCCAGTGAGATATCTCATACAAGCGGATCCAGACACTTCGAATTTGGGGGGGAGGGGCGAAAGGAGGCGGGTTGGGGAGAGCCTCCCCCGAAAATGTTCAAAACGTCTAATACGCAGTTTGAGTCAATTGAGTCAAACCACCTCAAACGCTTCATCCTCGCAATTAGCGATATATCAATGGTGAAACTGCAGAAATGCGTAGCTCGGTTTGCGGCGCGTTGCAAACTTCCTCTCATATACTTTATTTTCTACATGGAAAACTACTATAAAGGTCATTTTTTGAAAATTTTAGTGATTTTTCTACTCTGTACGAAGAATGCTCTGCAAACAATGTGTTGGCTCTATCTCTTTTTAAAAATATAAAACAAGAGCGGAGATTTCGAGACGCCGCAACCTCGAAGCGCATTTTTGCAGTCTCACCGTCGATATGCGGAACGCGCTCCAACAGGCCTCAATACTGCCGTGCTAAGGAAGAACGCCGTATGAACATTCGAGAGTTGCCAAAGTTCCTTCGATAAAATGTTTATTTTCGCGAAAAGCCATGGACATTTGTCCTTTAAATTTTCAGAATCTTCAGGTGAAATTGCGAACAAAATTATCTTAAAAATTTGAAGGAAAATATTCATAACTCTACCAGGAACTTCGCTTTTTATCAAAGAAAATTTGGCAACGCCTGAAGGTTCATACGGCGTTTTTCCTCAGCACGGCAGAATAGTTGTACCATAAGCTACGTAGACTTCTAGAAGTCCCTGTTATTCACCCCTGATGACTTTGCCTCTCCTTAATTTCACAAGATAGGCAACACGGCACTTTCTCATACTCTTGTCCAAATAGCATTGTCATGCATTATTCGAGGGTCAGACCCCTGACCACTCTGCATCCCAACCCTCGGAGAGAGCTTTATGCAGTATATAGTAATAAATAATTCAAGTCTTTAATACAAGACTCTGTTCATAAATTTAGGTTGCCGTTCATTACATAATACAAATTTTGCGTGCACGTTTCCCAAAATTCAAATTTACGCTGGGAGATGGTTGTCACGCGATGTCTCATTCAACTCAGCAAGAAGCAAAGTATGAAACGAACGCAGAGTTGCGTCGCGTCGACGGATCATCCAAGGGCATCAAAAAAAGTGAGCTTGACATTGCGGTAATAAATACCGCAAGTTTAATTATTGCAAAACACAGAGTAAGAGGTAGCTCATTTCGTGACGAACTCTTGTCTTGATTGCGCGCCATGATTATCGCGCAAAAAGAACGGCTTTCGCTAGCACGGTATTCCTAACTTGGTGGGCATGCGTCGAATCTGTTCGGGCGGGTCGCCATGTTGCCAGATGAGCCGCTTATTCTACCACCCGTGCTATCTTGCTAAGGAAAAACGCCGTATGAGCTTTCAGATGCTGCCGTATTTAGTTCAACGAAAGTCAAATTTACCGGGAAAATTGTGAATGTTTTTTCTCAAAATTTTAAGACAATTTTGTTCGCGATTCAATCTAAATTATCTGAAAATTTCAAGGAAAACTATGCGAAATTTTCCTTACACAAACATGCTTTATTTGAGAAAATTTGGCAGCTTCCGAATTTTCATACGGTTTTTTTCCCAGCACGGCAGCGCGATCCACGGGAAAACGGACCGGTCCTCGGAAAACTTTTGGTAGAGCGATTTATTGTGGTAACATCAAATTTTAAAATCTCAAAGTTCTGATCCGCCGGGCTCGCGGTACCAAAATGCCGATTCATAATGTATTATCCGGTTTCTTAAAGGATAAATAGACAGAGAGGAGAACTACCGTATGGAGAATCTTAATTATTCGCGGTTTTCTCGGTGGCTTTGACTCGTAAAGTCTGCAATTCTGCAATTTTACAGCGCTAACTTCTATAAAAATCTTCTTCCATGAACAATGTTTCCCAAAATAACTTCTAAGAGGTGAAATTTTTTCATTTTAGACCAATTATTGCATTTGCATCAAGTATTAACAAGTTTTTTGATAGATTCTTTCAAAATGAAGCCTTTTCGATCCATTTTTCTGGCCAAACGTTTCGGATTATAATCAGCAAATTTTGATCAACCGCGGTAGCTCCGGGTCAGTGGCAATTTTGAAATTTGGCAACACTGTTTTTCCTTCATTTAAATCCATTAACAATATCGATTTTAGGTTTTACTTGGTGAGGCAGGCTGTCTCGCCAAGACTCAATTTTTTTTACAAACATTTAAATGGAGATTCTAGACTGTGAGGGCAAATACTGATTTTTTGCTCAAATTTGGCAGCAACGGTTAGCCACTCACTCGTTTGATTCTCCACGTACATGAAAATCACCATTTAAGATTTGTAGTCATACTATACTGACGTGCTGGCTTAGGAAAAACACCATATGAGCATTCGAATGTTGCCAAATTTCCTCTCAGAAAATATTCATTTTTGAGGAAAGTTATGATTATATTTCCTTGGAATTTTCAGACTCTCTATGGATCATATTACGAAAAAAATTCTCTGAAAAATCGGAAGAAAAATATGTACATATTTTTCGAACGTTTGTTTTTTGCCAGAGAAGATTTGGCAACGGCCAAAGGCGAATACGACCTTTTCCTTTGGTGCAATTTTTGTCCAAAATTCTGAATTTGGCATGAGACCAGATCAGAGGAAATTTTCAAGATTCTCCTGGTAAAAATGCAATTTGGAGGAAAAATGTGGTAGCGTCGAAATGTAGTTGAGTTATATAGTGAGGGAAGCAACAATTTGGGCACAGTCCCTTTTTAGCATCAACACCTTTACAACACATTAGAAAACTTTTTTATTCCGGAGTTAGAAACCACTCGTCTCGAAAAATAGTCTCCATCTGTCCGACGTCCATTAAGCGCTCTAAAATCACGCTGATCAAGTCTGATTCACCACAATAACGTCAGACTGTCTTCAGACTGATTCAGACCGATGTCAAAATGGCTTATATTAACATCTGATTAATAGATTTGTTTCATGAAGCGGTCGGATTTACAACTAAACGGACCTGTTTTTACAGGGAAGGGGATACAATATTCTAAATTTTTGTGTGAATTGACATAACAAGCAATATTTACAAAGATTTTCACCGAGATACAAGAATTCACATTTCTTGACATGCAAATACAGAATTTTAAAAAAAATCCACAGACACGTTCCACATTTTCAAGTGCGCGTGTATCATCCAGGTAGCTAACAATATGTGGAATCGTCATTCTGCTACGTTTTCCTTATTTTTTAAAAATCACCGTCTAAATATTGTTGTCTCTGAGAAAGGAATCTAAATCGATGACCGAAGTGCGAAACCAAGTATACTCTTCGCGACATTCTAGACTTCTTGTCTTACTAAATTATTATTTCTTCGGATAACTTGTCAACTTACTAACAAGAAAATTTCCTTGATTTTTCAAGATATTCTGTACAATTTTAAGCTATAAAGTTGGCTTGGTCTTCTTCGAAAAAATAAAATCGGAGTGGAAATTCTGAAACACTTCAATTAATACATACGTGGTATTGCCCCTTGGCCATCGACATACTTCGTATTGAGTGAAGGCAATACCTGTGAGCATGCGTCGATTTTGTTCTCAGTTTCTTGAAGAGAGCTGTGTAGATCCACTTTGATCCGCTCCAACTGTTTGATCAAGCGGAGAAGTTCAGACTGTGAAATTAATAGAGGAAAACGCATGGTTAAGAATCAAGCGACGCTATAATATAACGATTCCCAAAAAACGATACCACGTAACTCCGTTTATGACGCTGCAAATTCCCGCAATTCTTTATTTTTTCTTTGGAAAACCAGTCAACGTAATTTCTTGAAAACTTCTTTAATTTTTCTTTTCTGTCGTGGCAGAATATTCTGTATGTAAATTTTAAACTATTATGTTGGCTTGATCTACCCCGAGAAAGTAAAATAGGATAAATTTAGAACGTCGCAGTAGAGTTACGAAGTTTCGCACTTTGGCCATCGACATGTTCGATAAAGAGCAGAGGGAATATTATAAATAATTATTAAATTGAGACTCATTTACGCAAGCAGGTACCTACATTCTAAAAATTAATGAGGAAGAGAAAAAGAAACGCTGATTCAATATTCTGAATGATACAAAATTTCACGGCATACACCTCCCGTAGTTAATACTACATCTTGACATGCTAAAACAGGCAGTTAATGTAATTACTTTATTAGAAAGCAGCCGAAAATTTTGAAGCGCAATGAGAATTGAGCACTCTCAATTTGAGGAGGATCGTAAATTTTACATAAATTGTCTGTATTATATTCTCGACGAAATAAAGAAGAGTTCGCATTAATTCAAACAATGTCAATGAGCTGTACTTACAGCTATCTAAATTCCCCGCTAAGATTATGAGATTGTGAGTCTGAATGGGCAGTGTATCTCGAAAGAAAATCAAGTGACAGCAATTGTCGTCAGTGTTGTGCAATTTATTTTCTCGGACCGAGAGAACAGTTGCACCAATTCTCCTAAAAATTTCAGTGAATTTTTTATTTTTTTTTTTTTGCGGCTTAGAAAGAAAATTCCACGAAATTTTCATGAGAATACCGATACCTCAGTTCTCTTGTAAAAAAAAAGATACACTTTGGTGACGGCTACTATAACTTCAATGCTTAACGAGAAATATAGCTCCAATATATGAAGTAAAATCTTAAATATAATTGAGCTTGGTAATATTTAACATTTCAATGCTTGTAAATCAGTGGCGTGGCGTGCTTTGTGATTTATCGATTGATCTGGTGGATCCGACACCGAGAAAGTACGACGATTATAGCGCGCACCGTGCTGTGCGTGCGTTGCGCGAAGTACTTATTCCCACAGTCTAGTATGTGTATCACGCCAACTGACAGACTGCACTGCGATTGGCGCAATGCGAGAAGTATTCATGCAGTCTTGTAGGCGCTAACGCGCGTGCCGCGCCGACCGCACTGTTTCGCGCAATGCGAGAAGTATTCCTACAGTCTTGCAGGCGCTAATATGCGTTTGACGCCGGCCGCACTGTGTTTTGCGCGATTATTCGAACACGCTTTAGGGCGCTCGTGGCATCGAATAATGCGGCTTGAAAGGTCCATGTTGTGTTTCGACGCGTTATGAGCATTTCAACGTTGCCTCGATTCTCCTGATAAAATATTTTTTCCGAGAAAAGTAAAGAAAGTTCTCTATAATGTTCATATTTTTGTGATTGAATGGACCATTAAATAAGATACGAATTTAAGCACTCTGATGAATGATTCTCTACTAGAATTTTACGTAAACCACGATTCACGAAATGAAAACTGTACTGACATCAACTCTTACCTAAGATATAAACGTTTTTATTGTAAATTGGTCCGGGGAAATTTGAATTGCCCGGTCACAAGAAAAACAATACGCGAGTCAAATCGCGCACTACGACGGCTTCAGCAGACTACTCAATCGAGCATTGTTTCTTTCCCACCCTGTGTTGTCCAAAGCGTGTACACCTTGCTATACAAAGCGTCAACATTGAGTTGCCATATTTTCATATTGCTGAGACGGTCAAAGTGACGTTTAACGTGCAATTTAACCCAAGTAAATTATTCTTTCCTCCATGAGCGGAATGATTGAATTTATTTTTTTAAAAAAAAAAAAAAAAAAAAAAAAAAAAAAAACATTATTTCCACGGCTAGGAGTTAATCTAGGGTAAGATTTCGGCCATGTTAATGACTGCAAACGCTTCGGACAGCCGATTCATCCAAAAAACCGAACAGGAAAACCCGCACATCTCCTCGCGGGACAAACGGGAAAACCGCGCTTTCAAAGCGCATGGGGCGTGAAGCCTCTATTTTTCTCTCCANGGGGGGGGGGGAGTCAAGCCGGTACCACCCTCGCCCGGATCGGCCTGACGGTCCCCGCTGAATTTTGACCCGAATTTTGTGCTTACGGAAGTATATATTGTGATGATATCAGAAATGTAAATGATGTACAAATTAATTCACTACTGGATTTCCATAGAGACACAGAGGCAGGGTCTCTCTGGAATTGGTTCAGAAAATGTAAGTATGGCGACTAACCTGAGATAACAGTTCCAAATTCAAATCCGTTATGTCTGTATCTGCCTCTGAAACAGGAGGATTGGACATAATATTTGGTGCCTTCACGGTCTGTAACTCAGTCTTTTTGGGTTCGAAAATTCTCTATCCCGCCAAATTTTCAGACATTCACTGCTGTTCAAATGACGAGCCATTATTGATTATTTATACTGTTTACACTAAAATCACTAAAATCAAGTCATTATCATTAAATAGTTTTTTTTGGATCATAATCGAGGATTGATTTCGTAATACAAAACGAAAGTCAACTTGACTTAAGACTAATTTACTATTCATGTCACAGGTTAAGCCAAATTCTTTATCATATTTTTTACGTTTGCTTTTAAAGTATTTTATGGTGCTTTGATTTTTCTCTTCCTAAGAAACATATCACCGGAAAATTCATCTTTCGGTTATTCAAAAGAGTAGAACCTGTGAGTAGAACCTGAACCAAAAATTGCTAAATTTTAGGTCCGACGGAGAATCATTTTGCCTAGTCGATTTTTTCTATATGAAACGAAATTTTGAGGGATTGAGTTTAAGCCAAGGTGGTAAGCGGGGGAAACTTGATCGTAACTATGAGTAAATTATCTTGTTTGTTCATTAATGAATTTTGGTATCACATCATCCTCAGGAGTATTCTTACGTATTGGCATTACCCTTTAACGAAATTGTCATAAACATATTGGTGATAAAAATAGTGATCATCCTATAGTGTACCAGTTAATCATAGTAAATAATACTTCCGTGCCAAGGAAGAATGCCGTATGAACCTGAATAAGGCATTGCCATATTTACTTCAATAAAAAACGAATTCACTGGGAAAATTGTGAATGTTTTTCTTCAAACTTGTCAGATAATTTTGTTCGCAACATTATCTAAAATATCTGAATACTTTCCGGAAAAATATGCGTAACTGGCCTCAAAAATTCATGTTTTATCCGAAAATTGGCAACTCTCGAATGTTCATACGCCGTTCTTCTTTAGCGTAGCAGAATACATGCGAGTGAAGTGTTTTTAATAAATTTATTTGAAACGAACTCAATAACTATTTTTGGTTGGGTGTCGCAGAACGCCAGAGTGCGTTGTAGGAGCTTACATGTATATATTTGAAATGAAATACCCTTACAACAAATTTGGTGGATAATTCATCGTGCTCTGAATGTTTAGTATGGTGAAAATAAGTTTTTAAATGCACTGTACTGAGAAATTTCTAATTGCACTGAGTCACTGACACCCGTGAGAAAATAATAACGAGGACTTTACTGTTGACTGTGTGTTGTTAGTTCAGATTTTCTGTATTAATTTTTTTCTCCTTTTTTTCTGGGCAGAGCAGTAACTATGTATGCCAGTCTTCTTACAGCCTGTATACTGAGAGTGGCATTCATAAAAACGAGTTGACCGAATCTAACTTGCGCCTTCAATCCCTATAAAAGGCAACATGCATGACGTGCAAGTTGAGTCCGGTCGAATCAGTAAATCCGAAATCGTCATCTAACGCGCGCATCAATAAACACATTAATCTGCGCGACCTGACCAAAAACTGACGTAACCATTGCCGTCTTCAAAAAAATTCAATATTCTTAAAAAGATCAGCGACAAAAATTATCGCAAAAAGTTATTTACTCACGAAGATAAAGAGTTCATGCAAGAAGTGCAGAAGTTTTGAAACTTAATGATGTGCATAATTAACTTTAATGACGCATTTACAGGAAGCGGTCTAGTTTGTGCTAAAAAAGATACACAATTTGAAGTCTGCGGACCGGTGCGTGGATGGCTAAAAAATCTGAAACTGATGAAATTGTTGATGATCTTTCAAGATAAAAGTAAAAGTAAAAAGCAAAAATAAAAAAATAGCCTCGAAGTACGGGAACGATTTAAAAAAATCCCCCTCTGGGCGAAAAACTCACCCGCCAAGATTCTCAGCTTCTCCTTTTCGACTCCGATGTCTGTCTCCAGCTTTTTTAGTAAGTTCACTTGATCTAGGTATTTCTGATTGCTTTTGGCAGAAAAATGGCCACCTAAAGAAAGTCGGTAAAAGTGAATTTCATTGAGAATAAAATAAATAAATAAACATCAAGTACACAAACCGCCAAAACTCCGGTTTGGTTTGGAGTTTTTTGGCGTTTTCTGTCTCAAAATTCTCTAAAAATAAAAATGTAGAAAATTAAACCCCTGTACATGTTCGGGTATTAATAATTAACTTCAGTGGCGTGGCGGACTTTGCGATATATCGATTGATCGGCCATTTAAATCTATGGAATAGGATCGATGAACAGGGTGTTCGCAAATAACACCTTAATAATCGATTCTTTACTACAGCTTCAAATAGGAAAATATCGATAATCGATCATTCACGCCTCGCCATTAGATTAAATTTTGAGTTTTAATAAACCAAAATCTTGGACATTCACACATATATGTTCAGAAATGTGAGTTTGCACGATCTTCAGTTATACTTAATTGCCACGTGGAAAACCGAACTAGTCACTTTATTAGACAAGTTTTTTTTTTTTTTTTTTCTTTTTTTTGGAATGTCGTGATTCATTCATTTATTTGTATTCGTCGAAATACACAACTCATCAAGTTCGTTTTGTCAACTCAATTTGTTCATTGAACAAATGGACAGTCAACAAGAAAAAGTGGTGTTATCGATCTGGGATTTGAATCTCTCTTTAAATTTTTATACCGAGCTTTTTAAACCTATTTATGAGTACAATCACAACTGGAGGGCAACTTTAAGTAAAACGTTAATGCCATTTTTTTCTCTTCTTATTTCCACATCTTTTTTTTTTGGGTCGTAGAAAAATTTGAATTGAGCGCTCATTGAAACAGACAAGAGCCTTGCATAGGAAAGTTACAGTAATGACAAAATATTTAATTATACATCTTTGTGAGACATTTGTTTAAGGTTTGAAGGAGAATGTCACAGAGGGAATTATTCAAAACCTTAAAAATTTGTGCCTTTTGAAAACTTACTTGCGATGTCTTCCGCTTGCTTTCGGTTCATTTCTAGATCTTTGGCCAACTTTTCAATCGAGTTTTCTAAATCTTTATTGGATTTGATCATTGCATCTCTTTAGCAGAACAAAACAAAAAAGTAAAGATTAATTTTGATAAAAAATGAGAAAAAATTTCTGTACAGGTGAATTGAAACGAACCGAAGATGCCTCCGTGCAAAATAATTTTAAATGTTCTAAATGCGTTTCCGAACTGCGTTCATTTTCACAAAAATGTTAGTATCATGTAAAAATAACAGTAAAATTATTTCAAAGAACTTGAAAAAGACGTAAATTCCATCAGTGCTATTTCAAGAAAATTCTTGAGAAATTGTAAAAAGATATACCTATGATCAGAGATATTGAACACCGCAATCAAGACACGTGCTTTTCTACTTTCTTATTCTTTTTTACCATTATATTTCCCTCCGCTTTCTGTTCCTTTGTTCTAAAATTCAAAAATTAAAAAGTTTAATTTAAAGAAAATATTATACTTTAGCGGTCCGGGCGTGCGTCGTACTTTCCGTATTAAATACTTACGGTAATGCAATTTTAAAATTTCGTAAAGATTTTTGATCAGAGTAAACACTCCTTTATGGGTGGTTTCACGATAACTGGAATAGTTTTGTCGCCGTAACAGACAACACATTTTTCGATCATATTTTTAGTAGTAATGCTAATCACTCGAATTTTTTTGCATTAATCTACACAGGGTTACATGTTATAACGTTTTTCAAAGATTTATCGCTCTACTTTTCAATTTTAATATATAAATGACCCAAAATATGCTGTCTGTTACGCTGACTTTTTACCGCGTAACAGAGAGTTTATTTACGGAATTTACATAATAATTGAGAAGTAGAGCAATAAATCATTAGAAAGTGTTATAATACGTAACCCTTTGAAGATTAATGCGAAAAAATTCGAGTGATCATCATTTCTTTTAAAAATATGACCGAAAAATGTGTTGTCTGTTACGGCGATATAACTATTCCACTTATCGTGAAACCACCCTCATGATCATTTGGATTACATTTTGCAATAAGGAACCACTATTTCTGGCCCATTTTAGAAACAACATACATGCCATTGGTTTCCTTTTGCAGATATGTGCTTTTCTGAAAGAGCCAGAGATAGTGGTTCCTTTTTGCAAAATACGATCCATTTCATGCTTTTGATTACACATACAGTAATAAAAAAAATTTAAAAAAAAAACCTTTTTTTGAAAAATCAGCAACTGTTAAACGTATTTTTACAGTGCTCGTTGTTAGACGCCGACTGTTGTAACTATCCGTGCGTTCGCTCTAAAATTATTTCATGTGTGGATCTCGAAATACCTGTAATTTCTCTCTTGGTCCAGCTCAGCTTTCAGACTTTCAATATCCTTACTTTTTTTCATCTTTCCCCGCGAGACCCCTGACTTTCTTCCAGGCGAGTGAAAAAGATTGAAGGAAATCCCTGGCACTAATACTGCAACCCTTATCTCCGCCGAACTAAAACTAGAACTTGCGAACGGCGGCCCGAATCGATCCAACCTACCCTTGCTGCCATGTCAACAATCACTTGACTCCTAAGTAGCATGCAAGCGCTTCAAAATACAATTTCAAGGTCCGGGGTATGGCTGAGCAAGGCTTAATAGGCCAGTGGGCAAGATTGAAGTCGAACGGCTAATCCATGTATCGAGTAACACGTATCTCCATCGCGTTTCAGCATCTCCGCTATTCTTCCGTGCTGGGGAAGAGCGCCGTATGAACCCTCAGGCGTTGCCAAATTTCCTTTGATGAAACACTAAGTTCCTGGTAAACATATGAATATTTTTCTTCCAATTATTCAAATAATTTTGTTCGTAATTTTACCTAATGTTCTCGAAAATTCCGTGGAAAAATATTCATAACTTGCATCGAAAATAAACATTTTATCGAAGGCAATTTGACAACTCTCGCATGTTCATACGGTATTTTTCCTGAGCATGGCAGTGTTGTTGTTGTTGTTTTTGGGGGTGGGAGGGGAGGAATTTGGCATATCATTCCGCCGCGATAAGCTTGATGGGAAAAGAAGTCAACTGCGCGTGTCATTTAATATTATTTGGACGTATTTCTGCCAAACGGAATTATGTTTAATATGACGTGAGCCTGATTATGCACATATTCTCATGGGTCTGGGGCCTTATGTCTTAATGCACATAGTTCCGTTCGGCAGAAATACGTTCATTTAAGGGAATTAGATTATTAATGGCAGAAACACCGAAAACAAGGGTTACATACGTTTCTGTAACTTGAAACAAAATTTACTTGATTCAAAAAAACATTTTCCGGCTCGGTTTTTCTTTTCTCTCTTACTTAATGAGAAAAATGCATCTCACTCGAAGAGGACTTTATTAAGTGAAACAATTTTCCTCTAATGAAAATGATATTTTTTTATCTGTTTCAAAGAAATGTAACAACGTTATCGACGAAAAGTTTGATTTTCTTTGGATTGGACAAAAACGTAATTTGAGTTCTGAAATTTCTCCTCACTCGATAAAATTTTCGTTAGGTTGAACAAATTTTTCTTTGAATTCAAAGATACAATATGAGCTAATTAAATTTTACTCTATAATATGAAATCATAAGCATAACGCGTAACGCTTAAACCGCAAAACACTTCAGAGGGTTGGGCTCCGAAGTGGTCAGGGGGCGCGCCCCCTAGTTTTCTGTAAAAATACTACTCTTGATACGGAAAAACGTAGTTCCGCGAGTTTTTTTCAGGAATAAATTTACTTCCATAGAAGCTCAAAATCATCCTCAACTATATGTATATTTTTTAAAATGGACGTATTTATGCTAAAAGGAACTATGTCGCACGCAAAACCTATGCACATAGTTCCTTTTAGCATAAATACGCCCAAATGGACGTATTTCAATCAAACGGAACTATGTGCATTATGACGTGAGCCCTTTGGTACACATATTCTAATGGGCTTCGGGGCTCATGTCTAAATGCACATAGTTCCGTTTGGCAGAAATACGTCCAAATATCACTAGGTTCCTTTCTGCTGTGCGTAATTTTTAAACCCCGTCCTTGGCGTTTCCACTCCCTCTAAATTTTCTGCGAGAAGACTTGCGGGGGAAAAGGAGGGGGAAGAGAAGGGCAGAAGGGGGATCAGGGGGAACAGAAGGAGAGGGGTGAACAGGGGGCAAGCTCCAAGCCAGAGAGGAAGAATAGAGGGATTTCATGTGTTTCAGCGCGGAGTATGAAACGAGAACTGTAGAGGCGGCCTGATGCCCCACTGAGTATTCCACTCCAGAAATGGATTGCGTGCTCGGTTGATGGAACGCAATCAAACTAACAGGATGCAAAGACAAGTCGGGGTGAAAATCGGAATCGGGGGTAGGAAGGGAGTCCCTTGCCCTTGCATGCAAGCAATCGTGTTCCTCCAATTTGTGTTGTGTTTAATAACTTCCTTCACCTCCTAATGTTTGCACGTAGGTGTATACAGAGTCATCCAAAATACCCGTATCACATGGTTATAGGAAATTTCGTCAACGATTTTTTGTCCGCGAACCTGTTTTTTCCAGTAATTCACGTCCACGCGTTTTTTCGGCACGGGAGTTTTGGTCCACGTGCCAGTTGAGACCCAAAGTTAATTGGCCCACATGTAAATAAAAACGACAATTGCTCACGACATTTTTGGATGAAAATGTGTAATGTCGTGGAAGAATGAAGGTTTGCTTGTTTTTTTTTGTTTTGTCTGTTTGGCCCAACGGAGAATAATATATAGTTGAGCGTTTTGGTAAAAATGGGGGAGCGTCAATTCCATGAGACAAAATTCACTTAAACTCTCCACACCTCCTTGAAGTAACAGGACTTAATTACCTTTCAAGAAATTTCCACCTTGTTATACCTGAACCGGATATACCTCTATATTTGCCTCAGCTAAAGGCTCTTAGATTTACCTGTGTACGATAAGTATCTTGATTTATTTTGCGAGGAAAAATCTGTACTTTTAAAGGATGCTTGTCATTATTAATACGTTCAATTTCGTATAATACTGTGCAACACCTCTGTTGTAAAATAGTTGCTTCAGGCGCCGCCGCACGGCGGACGGGCGGCTAGCGCGAAACGCGCATTGGCGCCTACAAACCTAAGTGGATACTTCAAGCATTGTGCAATGCGTGAAGTATCCACTTAGGTTTGTAGGCGCCAGTGAGCCTCTCGCGTTGGCAGCACGCCCGCCGCGCCGCTCCGCTCTGTTAGGCTTTAATATTTATACTCGCATAGTCAGCGTTTTTTAACTCATGATTTTGAAATGTATGCGCACTCTGCATTGATTATTATCATTTAAATTGATGGGGAAAAATATGTATCAATTTATCAAAGGAGAATAATAATATAATGTGTGTTTAAAATATTGGTGGTTCCGTGTCAAATTTAATGATTTTCAAAGCACTTTAATTTTTTTCTTTTAGATTTTGTGCTTTTATTGTGCTGCAGCGAGGTGTACGCGCAACTAAACGCTCAAAATTTGACGTTTTTGACTCTAAAAGATTGATGTACAAATGGGTTAAAACTAAAGATTGCGTGCTTCTTGGTTTTTTTCCTCTTTCATTTATTTTTGCAGTTTCTGTCGGCACAACTGCGGCTCATTGAAATTAATGTCGCTTGGAAAAGGTTTTACAAATATTTCTCACGTTTTAAAAATATGAATGTTTCCAAAATGAAGTAATAATTTCGTAAAGAAAAAATTTAAAAAAATAAAAAAAAAAGTACCTATACATATATAAGGTATATTGTACATCGAATATTTTAAGGATAGAAATAAAACCAAATATTCACCAATGACAATTTAAAAAGATTATTCAAAAGGAGAAAGTAATAACATTTCATTTAGAAAATGAGCAACCATAACAACACCTTCTTCTCTCTCTACTTCTCATTTCCATATATTGTCAATATAATTTTACATACCGACTAAAGTATAACGCTTGAACCAAGTCACTGTTGCTTATTTTACGTGTGGGCGTAAACTACTGGACAAAAAAGGTGCGCGGACAAAAAATCGTTAAGAAAATGTCCTGAAACCTATCACCTCTATACTGCCATAAGGGAAAACGCCTTATGAACCTCCAGGCGTTGCTTCTGATAAAAAACGAATTTATTGGGGCAATTGTAAATACTATGTTGTTCGCAATATTATGTTGTTGACTATTTTGCTCGCAATTAATTCTAAAATATCTGAAAATTGTAGGGAAAATATACATAGATTTTGTCGAAAATACATGTTTTATCGGGGGAAATTTGGCAACTCTCGAATGTTTGTACAGTGTTTTTCCTTCGCACGACACTATAACCCATAGGCTGCCATTCTGAGGAAGAACGTGATCGTTCAGGCGTTGCTGAATTTTCCTCGATAACATGCGAATTTTGAGAAAAACTTGGACATTTTCTTCTAATTTTTCAGCGATTTTCCTCAGCAAAGCAGTACCGAGTAGGGAGTCTTGCACCTTTTTGGGCTGATCCCATAAAAATTTTGGAGATCCAAAAGTTGTATTCTTTGACCTGAGGATATGAAATTTCAAATCTCCATCTCAATTTGTACAAAAGTCACAAGGGTGATAGCAAGAAGTAATGGCGCGAGACTTTTGCGGTGGCGATTTTGCAAGATGCATCACTGTTGATCCTCCATCAGAATCCATTTAGAATATCAATCTTTAGGGAGGTAAGCAGTCTCACTGAGAATCGATTGTATTACGATTGTATTATATACATCATACATTTAAATCGAGAAAAAACATTTTTGCCAATTTTCAATAATCGCCTCTGGACTTTCGGACCACCCTGTATATAGGAAATGGTCTAAATCCGTATTCTTTACGTACCGGGATTACGTAACTTCTATGAAATGTAATATTTTCGCTCACGTCGTTTCTTGGGGGAAAAACTTATTCAAATTATAAAAAAAATGAATTAAAAAATAACTAATTACTTTAAATTAAATATTAAAACGCTGAAAAATAATATTTTTTACTTTTCTTCAACCCTGCATGTAAAAAGATTAGCTTTGCTCTATAGTTTCAAAGAATCTTGAAAAATCGATTTTAGAATGAACTGAAAAACACGTCGTGAGGATATGCAAGCCCAATAAAACGCGACGCGCATGAGTTACCATTCAACGTATATCCTCATGGTTTGTGTTTACAGTTATGTGCTTTTATTTATGTGCCCTTGATAACGACTCGGATTATAAGTGATGAAAGTCGTCCAGTTATTTTGATAAAATTTGATGTCAGAGTGCGTTTAAAATTCCATCGCAAGGACGAACGAAGAGAGCAACATGGAATTATTTCAGAAACGACAGATCTTTCATTTATTTTCCTATACAATGAAGTAGGAGAACAGCAACGTCGCGTGCTGCCATGTTAGGCAAGAACGTCGTATGTACATTCGATAGTTGCCAAATATCCTCGGATAATACATGAATTTTTTAGAAAAGTCATGCGTATTTTTCCTTCAAATGTTCAGATATTTTTGATTGATTTGC